AGGCAGTGGTGTTAGAGGTATTCAGATCCTTTGCTTTAGTAAAAGTACTAATACCACATTGTAAAAATTCTCCACTACAAGTAAAATTATTGCATTCAAAACCTTAGTAAAGCGATATAAGTATTATCTGTAAACTTTACTTCAAGTATAAAACGTTAAAGTACTCTATCTTTGTGCAGTAACAAAGTCCCTATCAGGGTTTTATTATTATACATGATGTTTTTAGATTAATATTACTGCTGCATTAATGTGTATGTTGTATTGTACTGATGTAGACATTTAAGTTTGAGCTCATTTAAAATTCTTTAATACAGCAATGCATCATATTTTTTGAGATCATCATATGTTTGTAGCATGGCTGTCCTGTGAGAACCACTAAGCGCCCTGCTTTCAGCTTTGTGATGATTCATTTTCCAGCTAGTCCATGAGGGTTTTTAAACTGTTTATTTCAAAGTAGGAGAATCTGGAGATACATGGTTTTCATTGGACAGGAAGGGGATGAACAAATGTAATCTGAAAATGAATTAGTAACTAAAGCTGTCAAACAAATGTAGTGGAGTAAAAAGTACAATATGAAATGAACTTAGTTACATTCCACCACTGACTGTAGGTAGTAAGCCAGTGAACCCAACACAGTTTGAGCAGATAAACACAGTTTAATACATTCCTTAAAATTTTGCTCTTGGGTTTTTGGTTTTGGTCTTTGTTGCCTGGAAAACGACACCACCCTTTTCACTCTTTAAATACAGCCACATGCACACTGCTTCAAACATGTAGAGAAACCCAAAAGTGGACAGACTATGTTTGGACAGTTGCTGTTCCTGTTGGTAAAACTGTCAATTTACAACTTTAAGGGTAGCAGCTCAATATTTTGAAAATGATGCAGCTCTGACTGATTAAAACTTGATCTACAGCAATTCAGACCTAGACTCACTCTCTCAGCACCCACCAATTAAATGCATATTTTTTTGCCCGAGTGCAATCAGCATAGTGAAATTTGGCATAGCATAACATTTTTTGTACATTTAAGGGCCAGTGTTTAGGATTTAGTGGCATCTAGTGGTGAAGTTGCAGTTTGCGACCAACTAAATACCGTTTGCCTTCCGAGCATGTTGATGTAGATCATGGCGGTTCAACATGGTGGACTTAACTGTAGATAAAAACGGCTCATTCTAAGTTAACGAAAACACAACTATTCCTATTCAAAACATACCTATGAATATAATATTCCATTTTTGCCAATTGATCCTCCTAAATGTTACACACTTTATGTAGAACCTTATTTAATAAGTAATTGTAACTGTAGTGGGAAAAAAAGTGTGATGTTTCTCTCGCCCATACAGTGGGCTACATTTTCTTTAATTAAAATTCCCAAGTGAAGGTACCTGAGTTCTTAGTATGTGCACTTAATTACTGACCGTTGTCTCTTGTAGATCGGTCATGAAGACCAGATAATCCCTCTTCTTATCCTCGATGAGCACTTTTCATAGTGCTTCATAGAAATTAATGAAAAACTAATTTCCTGTAAGACCTGTTGCACATATCCACAGTTTTCACAACTGAGGCCTGTTCAGAATATCCTGATACCTGAAATAATTTAGTCTCTTTTATGTCAGTAGGTAATGAGGCAAAGTGCAGTAATGGCTTGATAATCTGACACGTATTAAGTATATTTTCAAAGCGGTGATATGAAGGCAGACTCAGAGGGAGATGATGACGTCTGAAGATGGATAGAGGAAGACACTCCTCAGTCTTCGCACACTCTTCATGCTCGTAACACACAGCCTCATGTCTCCCTGTGACAGATCCCAGCTTGAACTGCCTTAATGTGACCTTTCATCTTGACAAGCTCTTTTTTGCTATTGATCTGCCTTTCCATGTCAATGCTAAAATAGGTCAGACCAGGATGGGTTCTTGACTCAGAAGCCTGTCCCCTTTTCTATTAATGGCAACACTTTTTTTTGGACGAGAGGTCAAGAAAGAGAAAAATGAAAGGGAAGAATACAGGAGTCTCTAGGTGATAGTGGGTGGGAGAGTGTGAAGGAGTGCTAAAGGGAGGGCAGGGGGATATAAGGAAGCTGTCAGGGTGTGAAAGAGCTGCTGTCACCCACATAACAGGTTTGACAGAGGCCTCGCCAACAGCTGTGCAATCACCACTGGTTAGTTGTGACTTCGATAGACTGTGAATGTGTAGCTATGCTCAAGTGCTCGCGTTAGGTGCGGTGAAAGTAACTCAGCCACATTGTTCATCCTTTTAGAGCTGCATAAATGCACACATTCTTATGGTACATTACGTTCGAGTTCATGCTGCTTTTTGTAGTTCGCACAATGTGGTCAAAAATGGGGTGATGAGGAAAAGCCAAGATCACAGAGGATGACTCACCAAAAAAGCAATGCTTCTTTGAGCTGGTCATGCGGCTCTGCGGGTTAAAGTTCAATAATATGAACTCTGACCTGCGAATTTGCAGGAGCTCGAAGCAAAATCGTGTCTCCACCATTCTCAGCCGGAATTAAGAAAGCATGTTAACAGCTCGACTAAGTATGCTGCTGTTTTTAAGGCGGCGTTGTGAATTACTGGTGTGCTTTCAGTTTAGCAATCACAGGCATGAGTCAGAGCCAGTCACAATATGCTGGGTAAATGCAGGGGAGGAGCACTACGATATCAAACAGGAAAACAAGGGAAGGCTTCATGAGTCACACATATCAAACACCCCCTCTCGCCCAAAGCAAACCCACCAAAGAGCTCCCATCAGGTGTGTATGCAGCCCCTCACCTCCAACAGGCATGTACACAAAAAATAGCACACATGAACAACATGCTGGTATGATTTCTGTTCAGCTTTTGGTCAGAAAGTTTAAACTTAATGCTAAAGACTGGTCGTTACAATCACATTTTTAATGCAGAAGCACTATAAATACAGAATATTATTAACCTGATTCCTCAGACATTTCTTCACCATGACAACCACAGATAGCAAAACACATCTTCCTCAAGGGAGGCACAGATGAAGGCTGACTTGATACAAATAAAGAAACCGCTAATAAAAAAAACAACCACCCATTGTTTGTATATACACTAGACCTGCTGTGTGTGTGTGTGTGTGTGTGTGTGTGTGTGTGTGTGTGTGTGTGTGTGTGTGTGTTTGTGTGTGCTTCTGTATGCATTAGCCGGTGTTTGGTTACATTATACATATATACAGTACATATACTGTACATGTTAGTGCATGCAGTGGGCAACTGTTTGTGCCACAGCTGTGGGTGGAGTCAGTCAGAGTGATGTGACTTTGTGCTGAACATCCCAGAGGGATTCAGACTGCAACCCTCAGCCTCTTCTCTCTGTTGTCAAGTGCAACAGCATTTCATTACATCCAATTCTTAAACTTACAGTTACAGATACTGAATGGTGTTATCTCAAATGCCATTGAAAATAATATTGGGAGAAAACATCTTTGTGCATCAAAATCATATTAGACTTTAATAGTAAAGCTGCACTAATAAAGTCGTTTCATATTAACACTGGTTCAAATCCCTATGTGTAATGTGTAAGGAGTTGCTTTTTTTCAGCCCACAACTTTACGGTTTTGGTTTAATCCTAGCGCTCTCACCAACCTCGTTTCAAACAGCAGCCAACTTTGTTCAGTGAAAAGCTGTTCTGCCTCTCCCTGCCCCGCGTCAGAGTTAGTGATTAGCTGGTGAACATAGTGAATCATTTAGTAGCTAAAGAGCCAGATATATCACTCAGGAGTTGATGGAAACCAAACCAGAACTAAAAAGAAAGTGAATATTGGACTTATCTACTTGATGTGTAAATAGGCAACTCTCTAGTTTTAATGGACTATTGAATGATTAAGTTAATTTTTGTCTTGTGTGTCAGTGTACCTGTCAGTGTGTCTTATGAAAAGCATGCTTTATTTTTTCATATATATTGCATTTCATGATCACTTTAATTTAAATAACACCTGAAGCAGTTTCACCTTTAAGGTTTATAAGTAGTCAGCAAACAGTTGCTTATTTACACATCCAGCACCCACAGCGCAGTAGAATTAATTTGGAGTCGTGTTTGTGTCCATTTGATGATTGTAAGCCCAATATTCATGAGTCTTCATTAACTCATGAGAGAAAAATCTGTCTCTTTAGCTGCTAAATGCTCCACCATGTTCCCCTGCTGGTTGGTAATTGATTACCTAACATTTGGTGCTGAGCAGGTAGAGCAGAAGGGACTAGACTCCTGGCTCCATATTTAGGTGTTTTATATCTCTTATCACAGATTGAAACATCGGACATGATTTATTCCAGTTTTACCTCTGCCAAAAAACATCAGATCAGATTTATGCATAATTATTTCTCATGTATACCTACAGACATTAGAGTGCAGTAGTAGTAGAGGAGAGAGAAGTTCCTACAAGTATTTTAAGAATTCAACTTTTTAGCAGAGACCTCAGCTCAGGGTGAGAACCACATGTCTGCAAAAACACACTGCACATGCTCTTATCACACACATTCATGTATTCTACACACACACACGGTATCTACATATACACCCACAGCTCAACTGTAGTAGATTTCATGAGTGCTGGCAGCACTCCCCCTTTCTCTCCCTCCCACCTCCCTCCTTCCCTTCCTCTCTCGCTATTTCTATTGCTCTCTCATTCTCTCGATCGCTCTCTATGCAATTCTCTGTTTTTGCTGCTTCTGCTGCCACGGAACCCTCTTTTATTCAGTTTTTTGTTCCCGTATTCATCTCTTGAAGAGAGGACCCTCCCCATGCAGATTTCCCTTTCTCTTTTTGGTCTTGTTATCTCTCTCTCTCTCTCTCTCTGATCCAAACACTGAACCTCACTCACTCTGTCTCTCTCTCGTATTTCCTATGCATCTCCCTGTGGCTGAGGGGAACAGGGACTTGACTCTCCCCTCTTCCTCTCCTCCTCCTCCTCCTCCTCCGCCTCTCCATCCTCTTTCGTCCTCTCGGTTCCTAACGGAGGGATAATGTTCTATTTCCAGCTGGTGATCATGGCTGGGACGGTGCTGCTGGCTTACTACTTTGAGTATACAGACACCTTCCCCGTGCACATCCAGGGCTTCTTCTGCTACGACAAGACCTTCTCCAAGCCCTACCCTGGTCCGGATGACACCAGCAAGATCCCCCCTGTGCTCATGTACTCGCTCGTCACAGCAATCCCCACCATCACGGTAAGAGTTGGGTATATTTATAAGTGAGGAAGTAAATGTAGAAGGTGTTTGTCCTAATGTTGAAAAGGGAGAGTGGGGAAAAAGGAAAGAGCTGTAATAGAAACTAAGATTTTGTCAAAGTTGAAGTGATGGGTTTGTTTTCTGTATGTGAAAGTATTTAGGGCGAGCGTTTGCTTTCTGCTTCGTTTGATTTGTGAGTTTTTGCAGTCTTGTGATGAATCATCTCTGGTGTGTGTGCAGCATTACTGAGATACTGAGCAGATTGGCAAGCTGCATGGTGGTAACCCCCTCCATCCATGACAGGCAGGTGTGTGTGTGTGTGTGTGTGTGGTGTGTGTGTGTGTGTGTGTGTGTGTGTGGAGAGAAAAAATGAAGCAAAAATTGTTGCAATTGATGTAATGGGGATGAGCAGATAAGTCATTAGTGGAAGAAAGAGGCAGACGTGGCAAAGGAGAGACAGACAGAAGAACGGTCAAAGAGACAAACAACAGGGAAAGCAACAGAAAGAAACAGTGCAAAAGTTGTAGTGAAGACGGACTAATAATGGCAGGCAGCAGATTCTGTCTGAAAAGAAAAACTGGAGATGATAGGTGAGAAAAGAGACAATGAGCACAAAGGAAGGCAATTTGAAGGGGGGCATGTGCTGTTTTTTTTGTATGTGTGTGTGTGTGTGTGTGTGTGTGTGTGTGTGTGTGTGTGTGTGAGGGTAGCTGCTGAGCCCCAAGTGAGACGGAAGGCAGTGAGCGTGAAATGCATAACACCTGGCACTGACTCTGAGCACAGACACAAACCTTAACAGCTTACATCCCAACAGACCACAAAAAACAACACTGAGAACAGCAGAGACAGAACCAGCCTACAGCCACAATATAAAGCAGACAAATAACCTGACCGGATTACATGCGCAGGCAAAACCATAGCCTGCACCTACTGCAAAGACAAGAATATCTTACAACTGCAGCACGAAATAGAAACAGATCCTGTTTGTGTGCCGCAGTAGATGGCGAGGAGCAAGGTTGTGTGTTACAACGTGGGGCCAGGGTGTACACTTTGTCTCACTGCCACAATACACCCTGGACAAATTTTGAATGAAGTTATATTAGGAATTGACTGTGTTTACACCAGTCACTAATAAAGTCGATACACTTGGGTCTGCGTAAGTGCAGTATTGATTTAGGGACTGTATGAAAATGATTAAAGAGTGCGGGGCAGTCAGGAAAGGGGAGGTGGAGAGTTTTTTAACTTCCTTTCATCCTAGATTGATTTTTTATTTCATTCTTCCCTTGTGAGATTTCATACTTTATTTATCAGCTCTTTTCTCAACTCAACAGGCGACTGGATTTTTTTGTCCTATGTTTGGCATAAATATATTGTCTTGAGATATTGGGGAGAGGGGATTGCAGGTTTTTTCTGAGGGGGTTCATAGAAAAACCTTTTAATCCAAGACTCAGCCCAACCTCCCTACCCCAATCATTTGGGCAGAGCTTTAGTTTCTTGCAGTTAAATTAAAGACCTGCACCATCCCTTTATTAACATTGCTGATATATACAGCAGTTGCACTACACTCACTAATCCAAACCAAGCAGACCTTTAAAGCTGCCCTAGCTGAGGGTAAATTACTTTGTAAGTTGATCTGGGTCAGAGCACATTACTTACACCAGCTAGTCTGCCTTAACCTGTGCTGACAGAAGCTTTGGTGTGTGTAACAAACAGCAAGGTAAATCACAGCAGTAACTCCTTGTGATTGTGCCAGTCTGGTGCAAACGTGCTTTGCTATTTGCAAAGGAGCCTGATCTCTTTTTGTCCAGTGCAGCGGCCAATCAGAGCTTCGTGTTCGGTGATTTCGTGAAGTGGCTGCATGACACAAAAGCTATCCGTCATCAATACGGAAAGAGTTATGACGTTTTGTATGGTTTTAAGTAAAAAGTTCAGATCTAACATAGCCTTTTAGTTGCCAAGCAACATGATTGTACATACCCTTGTGTTTTGAACAATATAATTATCTTTTGCTTTTCAACATGTCTGTCTTTATAGCTCTGTATACAAGAAAGGTAGAGATTTACAGTAACTTTGACTGTAGATTAGAAATTGGACATGATTATCAGAACTGACAGGTGACCCTGCCTCCCTGAATCACTGTAGGTAATCAGCCACCACTATATTTGGGTCAGACCCAGAGTCCTCCAAGCCCAAAAGAGGGCACTCTAGCTCTCCGTCAGCTCCCAGTAGGGTCCCAACATCTAATTAAAATCATCAATAACCTTTTGAAGTTCCAGCACAAGGAGCCAATCAACCACTTGGAGACTGAAACAGAATAGAAAAGACCTCGGTCTCTTGGTCACATTTGTATTACATGTGAATAAAAACAGTGTATTATCATCCTGGGTAGTACAGTTGGTCTACATTTGTGGGTGAAGTAGTTCAAATTGTTGGTCTTAAATGTCAAAGCACCAAAAGAATCTATTAGACTATTTTGAGTTTATACAATTGGTATGCCTAGAAGCTTACACAGTCTCATGTAACAGCCCTGCAATAAACCCTACCTTGGTGAAGGTTATAATGATTCAGTTTTGTGATCAGTTTGGCAGCTGTAGTTTGTAGTGCTCCTGAATTGTATTGCTTTATACTGACAGGTGTTTCTTATATTTTGTCTATCTAGGATTTGACTAGCATTCAGTGCACAGCTCTTGTATCAGCCTGTATTAGTGTTACCCAGATATACCTAATAAACTGGAAATTAATGTTATTCTTCAACTGATGTGATTACAAGTTCAACAGACTGAACATATTCAACCAGAGAGGTATGTTATTATTATTATATAGTGATAATGGTGGCAGATTTGAAACAATGGGGCTAGGATTTCTCATTTGTAGCTGGCGACCGTAGATTTTGCCAGCTGAAATGATGATTACTGCTGGCAGATGTTATCAACCGTAGCTAGCTAGCTAATTAAGCTACCATTAGCTCCATGAGTCGGTTTAAAACAGCTGTTTCAGGCTGACTCATTTTTATCCTGTATCCTGTAAAAGGGTATTTTGCTTTTAGAAGCAAGAAGATGTAAGTAAGTTTGGCATAAATGTTTGTTGATGTGATTATTTTATGTAAGTGGTCAAAAATGTGCAGACCTCCTTTGATTAGATCAGAGATGTGATTATTTGCAGATGAATTCATTTGTGCTGAATCGCCATTATTTCTTTCTATCACAAGACTGCAAATTTCCCTGAGCAGTTATAGCAAGTCACACATTTCCGTTTGTATTAGAAAAACGATATAATCATATTTCCGTTGAGGAAAACTCTTTTTATGAATAGTTTAGTGCTATAGAATACTGTTGGATTTTACCCCAAGGCATCTGCTGCATCTGCAATACTGAAAATTCACAGCCACACACTTTGGTATTTGGTTCATTTTAAGGGCATCTTGAAAGTTTGCCTAATGGAGCTTGTAAGTCAGTTAAGTCCAGGATGAATTAACTTATCTAGCACAGATTCAGCCTGACAGTGCATGCGCAAATATATGTGTTCCTGCCCCTCTGTAAATCCTTCCTTTGATCAGTTCGGTTTTTTGTCTCTCTCTTTCTCTTTTAACCTCTATTGCTTGTCCTTTCTCCACAACCTTCCCCATTCCTCACGGCGCTACATCTCATCCACGCTGACCTTTTTGCTTTCATGTTCTATTCATCACCAATCCTCCCCTCCATATGCCTTATCTATGTTTAGTCTAGCCTATTTTCTTTAGCTTTAAATCTGCTGAATTCACCAAAGTGCAGCCTGATGGCACGCAATACAAATGTTCCTTATGTTTTTTCCAAGATTGTCTCTACTCTCATCAACACCTCCTCTACCTTTTCGAACTCTTTATGTCATGCCCTTATGGGCCTCTCCTCACACCTGTTGTTTGTCTCACCTCCCAATTAACACATCTAGGAACTGATAGGGCTTCTCAGCTTGTCTGCTCTACAGTCTGTGGGTGGAGTGGTAATCAAACACAGGAAGATCAAAACTCTGTTCCTCTGTCCCACTTCCTTATCCACAGATAAAGAAAGACAGAAGTGTTGTGTGTGACTGAAATCATACTGAGATAAAAGGCACACACAGTGAGAAATGAACACTTAACTCAATAAACATGAAAAAATGTCAGCTTACAGCTTTGTTCTGACTCATCCAGTTGAATTCAAGGTGAAGCCCACACTGCACCCATGTGTAGTTAAGACGCTACTACAAAAAAATAGGCAAGCTCATTTTACCCAGAAGCAGCAAATAAGTCCCAATATCACAAGTTATACTTCTACTGATGCTTAATTAATATAAACTCAATTAAGTGATACTGATAAGAACAAATTAGTACTCACTTAAGTGCCGTAATAATGAGTATAAATGATTCAGTATATATGTCTTGCTGATTGGAACAGGGAATCCGCTATGTTTAACTCTAATGGAAAAATAACATTGCAAACATGATAAAGGCCTGGTCACACACAAATTTGCACCACTGACTAAAAGCAAGTTGTGTTGACAGCGCTGACCTTTAAAGGACCAGTGTGTAGGATTTAGTGACATAACTGGAACTTGCTAACTGTCAGCTAGCAACCTAGCTAGCTTGCTAGCTGACAGTTACCAAGTTCGATATCTCTCACAGTGTTTTTCCTCCTTCAGTAACTCTTTATTGAATGACATGGTGTACACTCCTAAGAACAAATGCCAGGGGTGGAGTAAACAGCACAGTTCAGAAAATCAAAAGAAGCTCAGAGAGCCAGAGAGAGTCAAAGTCCTGACGTCACGACTGGGGGAACCTCTGTTTCACTCGCTTCTGTAACTCAATGCAATCTCTCCTTCATCATTTCTTTCATCTGTCTCTCTGAAGAAATAAAATGTGTTTCTGGGTTTTGCTATCCACATTCTGAGACAAATTGGCATCCACTACAGCACCGGATATTAGAAGTTGAGACCTTTGTGATAGAAAAGAATTTGTTACACTACTGTTGCATTACTTTTGCATT